CATACATTCTAATAGAATTTTTTTTTTTAAATATAAAATTTAATTAACTTTAAATTATAGTAATAAGTATAATTAAATATTAATAATTAATAAAAATAATTTACCAACTAATAAATTTATTTTTAAATAAAATTTAGTTGATTTTAAATTATAGCAATAAAGTATAATCAAAATACTTATAATCAATATAATCAATAAAAATAACTAACCATCTATTATATTATTAATTATTTTTTTTTTATATAAAAATTTAGTAGATTATAAATAAGTATAATTAAATACTAATAATCAATAATAATAACTTACTAACTAATTAAATTTAAATTTTTAAATAAAAAATTTAGTTAATATTAAATTATAATAACAAGTAAATTAAATCATAATTAATAAAAACAACTTACTATCTATTAATTATTTATTATATAAAAAATTTAAATTATAGTAATAAGTCAAGTATAATTAAATATTGATAATTAATAAAAATAATTTACATTCTAATAAATTTTTTTTTTAGATAAAAAATTTAGTTAGCTTTAAATTATAGCGATAGTAATAAGTATAATTAAATACTGATAATTAATAAATAACTTACTATCTATTATATTATTAATTATTTTTTAAATAAAAAATTTAGTTGACTTTAAATTACAGTAATAAGTATAATTAAATACCAATAATTAATTACCAACTAAATAAAATAATTTTTTTAATAAAAATTTAAATTAATTTTAATCATAATAACAAATCATAATTAAATACTAATAATTAATAAAATTAACTTACATCCTAATAAAATTTTTTTTAAATAAAAATTTAGTTAACTTAAATTATAATAGCAAGTATAATTAAATAACCTACTTACTAATAAAATTTATTTTTTTTAGATAAAAATTTAATTGACTTCAAATTATAATAATAATTTATAATTAAAAATTGATAATTAACAAAATAACTTACATCCTAATAAAATTTTTTTTTTAAATAAATAATTTAGTTGACTTTAAATTACAATATCAAGTATAATTAAATACTAATAATTAATAAAAGTAACTTACCATCTATTATATTATTAATTATTTTTTTAATAAAAAATTTAATTGATTTTAAATTATAATAAAAATATTAATATCTTACTTTCTATAAAATTATAAAGAATATTAATATTTTTTATTTAAATATAATTAATTGAATTAATAAATAATTTACCATCTAAATTATTAATATTTTATTTTTAATAAAAATTTTATTTATAAATTATAAATAAATATTAAGTAAAAATTATAAATATAAATAATTTACCAACTAAAAAATCATTAATTAATATTAAAATTTTTATATAATAAATTAAATATAGATTATAATATAAAAAATAAATAACTTACTCCCTATAGTATTATTGATTATTAAATATTTTTTAAATATAATTTAATTAAATTTAAATTATATAAATTAAAATATATTAAAATATAATAAAGTTAAATAGTTTACAATCTAAATATTAAATTTTTTTTTAAAAAAATATTTATAATTATATAAATAAATAATAAATAATAAATTTATTACTATTTAATTCTTTTAATGTAGGATTATCTGAAACTGATTCTATTATAATATTTATTTTTGAGAAAATTTTGAAATTAATTAATATTATTTATAGCAAAATTCAATATTTAGACAATTTATAAATATTTTTTACCATTTAGTTTTTCTAATATTTGAACAATTATTGAATATAATTAATTAATATATTATTATATTTATTTATTAATTATATTTGCTATTGTATTTACCTTTATCACCAGAATCTAATACTATATTTCAAGTTTATTTAAAATTTTTTAGTAAATAAAAACATAGATGACAAATGACAAATTACAGTATTATAGTAATTATTATATTTACATTTATTACCTAAGGTCAATTCTACATTATAAAATATAATTAACAAATTCTTTTAGTATTGGTTAATTATTTATAGAAATTGTTGTATTCACCTTTATCAATTGAAACTGTTTTTATTTTTGAATTAAATGAGTATAATTAACGGCATGTATTACCTTCTAATGAGAAAGCTTTTTTAACATTCGAAACTGGCTCTAATATAAATTCATGAAAAAAAAAGATTAGAATATTATCAAACTGTCAAATTAACTAATTTTAGTCATACGAAGCTTCATATCTGTTATTCCTTTTTCTTGTTTGGTGAAAATATTTTTTAGTTTCTTTATTACATTATTACCTTTATAATTATTATTAGACATTTTTATAATTTATTTTAATCAAATTACTTGTATAACGATAACAGAAATACATATTGTCAAGGTATGTAGATCTTACCGTTTGATGTGAGGCACAGCACTAGAAATAATTATAGTACTAGGGAACGGTTTCGGAAACCGTTGTTAAGTCCGGAGCACAAGTGTAACGAAAGGGATCAACCACGTATCGACTCAAATTTTGAGCAGGCGGACAGATGGACATTTTTCATCACGCTCCGGACTAATTAAAAGGATCTGTGTTACGGTAAAAAAAATTTTGGTTTTAGGCGATTTGTGCAACTCCAACGATCGGCCATTTTTATATGAGGATAAGGTAAAGGTAAAGGTAGGAGAGGAATCGACCTCAAGGAATAAAGGTTGTTTAAATATTATTTTTTTTTCAAACAAAAAAAAAAAAAAAGATTTGGTTCTGCTGCGACGGCACAGTCAGGTGCATAATGTTGTTTTTTTCTACTGTTGATTATTGATTTAATTAATAATAAGTTAATTAATTAATAATTATTGATTAATGATTTTGTTTATTTTTTTTCGATTTTGATTTTATAGGTTAGATCAGTAGATTTACCACTTTTGGCTTATTGCAAAGGCGCAGTCAGGTATGTTATATTGTCTATTTTATTGTTAATTAATAATTTTTTTCGATTTTATAGGTTAGGGCCAATTCCGCCCTTTCGGACGAATGCGGGCACGGCACTTCGGATGGGATAACTTAGTTAATCTAGTTGGTAACTAATAAAAATAACCAATGGTGATAATTTGAATCGGAAAAATTTTTGTTCTAATTAGATAAAAAATAATTTTTTGGTAGCTTTCAAATTCGATCATCATCATTTAATAAGTTTTTGAAATTTTATTTTTAAAATAAAATGTCTAAATTATTGATATTTTGTGCAATGAATTAATGTTTGAAGTCCCTGAATAATTGCGTCTCTAGTTATCTGATAAATACGAAAAATTTTTGAGTGTTTTGGTTATGTGTATGTTGTACAATGATAAAGGAACGTAATGGTATACATGTAAAAATAATTGATATTCGGCCATTTCCGTAGTATATTTTTACTTCATATAAAGTTTATACTGCGTCATCAATTTGTGTAAGCATAGTATTTTAAATAAAAATTTTATTTTCAGTTGCATTCTTACAAATATAAATATTGAAATTGAACAATTTTATATAAAATACATTTTTAGGCAAACCCAAATGTTTAAAGATATGACAAATGCTTTAGAAGTTTGCGAGTGGTTAATAAAAAGACCGGACATATTATTCATGGCATATCATATGTATAATGCTATGAACACTCCTTTGGATTCGCAAGTAAATATGTCTATTAGCTTTCCAAACTTCTCAACAATGGAGATCAATTGGAATACAAATAAGAAAGAAAAGGAACTTGCTTTGCTTTGTAAAATGCTTATTTCTCAAGTCCAAGATGCCACCAGACGAAGCTATCGAAGAAAACGTCACGAAAATCTTTAATTATGATCTTTGTAGCAGCAATGCCACAGAAGTCATCTGCCATTCTAAACGGGTTCTAACAGACTTTTGTAATAAATTTAATTTTAAAGTTAATACAAGAGTCAAGGAATTCAAAGAAATAAGAAGGGAAGGGAACATAACTGCGCCAACAAGGAAGAATTTATGTCAGTTGAACGAATATTAAACAGATACTTAAAGGGACCAATAAGACCAAACTGAAAGGATGCGGCACTATGGAACAGCTGATTCTACTTGTTAGGGAGGTATTTAGAATTCATTACGAAAAATATAATATTCAGGCTATTAAGGGTCTTGATATTATCTTGAAATCCCAATCAGATAGGTAAAGACATTGCCTTAAAGATTTCGTTAAAATGAAGCAATGGTATATAAAGAACATTTTAATATTATATTTATTCGAACATTTTAATTTTATATCCATTCTATGTAAAAATATTTGTTATTTGCGAACTTTTGCATAATTTGATTTGTGTTAAACAACACATTTTAATAAGTTTATTTAATTCATTATTTATTATCATTCTTTATTTACAGCTTTATAATAACTAGTACTAATTCTTTTACAATTAATTGAACGGGTTCAAAGAACCCCGTAAAGAAACGTATGACGAAATCCGCAACTGATGAGACGTGTGACGAAATCTTTAATTTCGGTACGGTAAGCATTTTAATTTTTATTATTATACTCCGCTTTTTTTTGAACTTTTCAATTTCAAAAGCATCAATGCACTACATTAACGACTAATTATATTCTGAATACAAATTTTATTTTAAATGTATTATGTAATTTTAAATATAAAACATTATTTCGGATATTGTATATTCAGGAATAGCGTTCTGGTCATCTAAGTAAGCATTTTTATGTTTTCAGTACAATACATATTAATTAAAAAAATATATATACAGTATATATTAAAATATTAGATATTTCGATCAGGAGCGTCAAATACTAATATTGCGTCAAGTAATATTTTAATTTTTAATATTTTTTTTTACGTTTATGTTTTTAAGCATTACAAGTTAAAAAAAAAAATAAGAAAATAATTAAGAAAATAAACATTTTATTTCATTTTATTTTGAATTAAAAATACATATAGTTTTCTTTTTAAAAAAAAAAAATTTCCGTAAAAATTCAAAAAATAGCCTCTAATATAGCCGATCCAATGCAATAAGATAGAAATTACAATGTGTCGAAATTTTTTTAAAAAATAAATTATTTAAAATTTAAAAAAAAGTAAAATTAAAGTTAAAATAACGACCCTCGCCTCCGTGCAGCTAATAAGGCAGAAACTAGAAAGCGAAAAATAAAAAAAAGCCGCTAGCAATTGACTATGTTGGTCACATGCTAGCGGCATTGAAACTGCTATTTCGGGGGTTTCAGTAAAGTAATGATAGATATCAATAATTGAAGTTTATTAATATGCTTAAAAAGTACAATTACGTGTCTATGGGTTAGATTTTATAATTTATTTTAACGTCACTGTGTTCAAATAATCTTTTAATTAATATTGTTTAAACAGCCAGCAAGAATATTTTAACGATAATAATTCTTATAGTAATTAATATTAAATGTAACTTTACCATTTTATGGGTCGTCACAAATTTGAACTACTTTCAGATTCACCCTAAAAATTATGTAAAAGATATATGGTATATTATTATTTATAAACAAATAATATTTATTTTTGTAATTAATAAATTATTGATCAAATATCATGACATTGAGTAAGCAACAATTTAACATATGAATTTGTGATTCAATTTGAGGAGAATTTTCTTGATTAACCTATATTATAAGGATGTTAGTTATGATCGGTTTATGACAATCATAACTGTACTCCTTTTTATTTAATTAAATGTGTAAGATCATGATTTAAAGATCGACGAAAAAGAGGTATCACATGACCAATATGACGAATAGATTTAATATTTATATTATTAATGATTAGTTAGGATTTATTAAAATAGAATATATTTATTTTATTTATTAGTCCGGTTCAAAGCGAAGGAAGTAAAATTGATTTGTATAAAATATCTAGTATTTTCTTTTAAGTTAAAATTACTCATTCAATAGATTAAATTCATTTACTATTACTCTTCCTTGTGTTTTCATATAGGTTTGATTGTGATTGTATTTGTATTTAAAAGTGAACTTGATTTGATGACTGAATTAAGTTTTTGATTATTTAGGTTGAATGATTGATAGGCTAACAGCAGTTAAGCAATAATAGAATGATTAAAAACCAAACTTTAATATATCCAATTAGCAATTAATATGATTTTTGGAAAAATTAAATAATATTGAAAGGTCTTGAAATGAGAAATTTGTAAATATATGTAAGAAATTCTCTTCTATATTCAGGCATTTCTATGAATCTAGTAACTTTTCAAATGTAACCTAATTCACATTGGCCACATCTTTTCAAGTACAAATTACTAATGCTACACTTCCGTGCAAAAAGTTTAGGACTACCTCTAAGATTTACATTAAGCAATACATAAATAGAAAAATATTATTTATTTATGTAACTTAAAATAAACTATTTATAACATATTGATTAATGATGATCATCACACAAATTTTCTTTTTTCCCTATATTTATTTTTTGTATTTCCACAAAAATAGTTAAAAGAAAAGAACTAATAAATTTTGAACGTAGTAAAGTCATCAGTTTTTATAAAGCTAATGATTTGAAAGGGCTATTTCAAAAAATGGATTATAGCAAAATAATGATACATAATATATAATAAAATACTGTGAGAAGGATAATGCTATTACTATTGCTTATAGAAGTGAATATCTTAAGAAAGTAATTGAATGAGACAAGTATCATCTTAAGATTATTATTATCAAAAATCAGTATAAATCCATTGAAAAATAAAAGAAATTTTTATTGAGTCTACTGAAAATGTAATATGTAAGTATACTATAAAAAATATTATATGAAATGAGATATAACAGTTGTACAATCTTAAAAAATCTAATAATAGTGAGAATAATTAAAAATTTGTTTAAATTGAACTTATAAAAGACACCTATAGACTATAAATAACTGAAAAAAGTTGTGTAAAGTGATGAGTCTAGATTTACTCTATTATAAAATGATGGAAAAATTTGTATTTAGAGATTTTCTAAAGAAAAATATAATATTAATTATTTTATTCTAATTGTAAAATATAGTGGTAATAGAGTTATGATATAAGAATACTTTTTTTAATATAGATTAGGTCTTTTGATAAGGATTGATAGTTAGATAAATAGTAAAAGATATATTCAAAAGATCTTGGCTACTATTTTTAAAAAAATTTGAAAAATAAAATGAAGAATATTTATTTTAATAAGATAATGCATTAATTTATATAAATAAATAAATACAAAACTTTATTGAAGAAAGAAAAATAACTTAGTTATCTTAGTCAGAGTAAAGGTCTGATCTTAATCTTATAGAGTACTTATAAAATAAGCTTGAGTGTTAAATCTGATTAAAGCAAAAAAATCTAAGAAATGTAAAGAAATTAAAAAAATTTCTTTAATAATATTGGTTAAAGATTTCAGATGAAATTTACCAAAATTTTATTACAAGTATGAATTGTCAAGTAAAAGCAGTGATAAAAGCCTATGATTATCCCATAAAATATTAATAAATACTTTTATTACTTTATATAAAAATAAATATTAAGAAATAATTTTTTTATTTTATTTTTTTATTTAAAATTATTTCTTTTAACTAAAGAAACTTTAATATATATTAATTCTTCAATTGTATGAGTTTTCAGATTCCATTTTTTTTATTACATATATTAAATACTTTTTTAATAATTATGATTTGATTTAATAAATATAATTATATTTTTATTCACAAAAATCACATGCTTTAAATATGATTAATAATAATCAGTAAAATAATATTTATTAAATTTCTGATATTTTATTTATTACTTAAAATAATTAGTTTTTATTCAATAAAGTAATTATAAATAACTTTTTATAATTTAATAAAATATTAGTTATTTAAAAAAACTATTTATTTTACAATTTATCAGGTGATTCTAAACTTTTTGCATAAGAGTATATATTATAACATAAATCCTTTTCTTAAAGATTAACTCTTTTCCATTATATGCATTTACAAAAATTTATGAATCAGATCAAAAGTTCTGTCTTATTAAATCCTTACAATTTAATCAATAAAAAGGTAAAATATAATTAAAAAATATATATATATATATATATATAATATCAATTAAAATATAAATGACAAGTAATAATAGATAATAATATAAATATTAGTTAAATTTTAAACATATCTACTAAATATTTAGGTATAATAAAATTAAGGAAGCAGGTATATTTGATAATCTAATTATTTGAGTTTTTTTTACTTTTAAGAAGAATTAAAAAATTAGATAAACTTGATAATATAGTTAATTGAATTTTAAAGCAATAAAAATCTATTAAGGAATTAGATAAAGTTGGTAAGCTAGTTATTTTAGTTTAAAAATATAAGAATTTTATTAAAAAGTCAGATAAAGTTGATAAGCTTATTATTTAAATTTTATGATATCAGAGTTCTGTTAAGAAATTCAATAAAGTTAGTAAGCTAGTTATTTGAATTTTATAATAATAAAATTTCTTTAAAAAATTAGATAAGTTGGTAAACTAGTTATTTTAGTTTTATTATAATAAAGTTTTATTAAAAAAGTTAGATAAGTAAGTAAGCTAGTTATTTGGGAATTACTATAATCACATTTTATCAATTTTAATATCTTTACAAACTATCTAAAGTATTTAACAAGTAAATCTTATTAGTCTGTAATAATTAAATTATTAATAGTATTATTATAAATAATTAATTCAAGTTTTCTGACCCTCTTTTCTAATTTATTAATTATTTTTTGCTTTTCTTTGAATACTTTTTTCTTTAATCTTTTCTTTTAAATTAATAATAACTTCTTGTTTAATTTTAGTTTCTTTTCTAATCTTATTCTCTAATTTATTAATAATTTCTTATTTAGCCTTAATTATTTTTTACCTTTTTTTCTAAATATTTAAATTCTGATCTTAAACTTTCATTATTTATTCTAACTTCTTAATTCTTATTTTTAAATTTTTTAGTATTTTTTATAAATTATTAAAATCATTTTTATTTTATTTTTTTTGTTTTGAATAATTATTTTTTTTTAAAAAATAAAAAATACTATATCATTCTAAAAATAAGTAATAAGTGACAAATAAATATTTATTATTTATATAACAAATAATATAATAAAATATATGTAATAAATAAAAAAATTACTATAAAAGAAGCATATTATAGAGTGCTTATTTTTGAAATAATATGATAATTAGAAAACTC